AAGTTAACAAAGTTAACATAGTTTTCTAAGGATCTACATTAGGAAGATCATCCTAATGATTTTTAGTGTAACAATATTATAGAATATAAGTTTATGCAATATAATTTACTGATATTAGTGCAATAAAAATCATTTGGCTAATAAGATCACTACCAATAATTATTTTAGAACCAAATTAGTCTATTGATCATAATTATTATTTGACAAAATCAGTCTTCTGGATAAATATGTCCTATTGTTTTTTATATATATAAATAGTAAAATTTTTTTCTTAATAAAAATTTAAGATTCAAATTTATTAATATATAACAAATAATTTTCATATTCATTTTCATATTTAGTATTTAATAAATTTCCAAAATATCTGATAATTCTAAGTATTAAACTTTTTGTTATTCTCTTTTTTACATTTTTATTATAATAACTCTGATAATAATTAATAAACGTATCTGATTATATAGAATATTAGCATTATAAATAATACTTTATTTACATTATATTAGATTTAGAAACTTCATTATTATAAGTAGGATTGGGAAATATAGTGTAAGTATAATGATTAATACAATTAGTATAGTTAGTACATTATAATAATTAATATAAAAATTAGTACAGTACAGTACAAGTACAGTGTTAAATTTATTTAGTACATATAAAATTTCTAACCCTATTATAAGTAAAATACATCAAATATGAAAATATTAAATTTTTTTGCTTACCTTTAAACTCATTTATAATCCATAAATACTAAAAAACTGTTATTAATACTATTATTATTGATTCATTATCTGTTATAAATGCTAAAGTTTTATTTGCCAATTTAAATTCATTAAGAATACTAATATTTGTACTTGCTATATTAATTCCTATATGTTGATTTTGAAAGGAAATAATATCAAGTAAAAAATGTTAAAAGTTCCAATCCTGATCAACATGATGAATAGTTACTATAAACCAAGGAATGATTTATTATTTAATGTTTATGTTCACATGTCAGTAGTAAATATCAGATATATCTGATATTTGAATAATCATTATTTTAATTTATGACAATCTGGAACCTTGTAACATGAATCAAATATATATATCATTTTAAGTTTCATAGCTTATATAATTCCATAAAGAGGAAGTTTTACGAATTTTATGAATCTTTTGAACTTTTGGATTAGATGTAGTTTTATCAAATAACGTATCATGAAAATTATAAAAGTTTTAAATTCATTTTTGTTATCATAAAAAGGCGGGTTATATGAATCATTGTTATTGCTAAAATTATCATCATTATAAATATTATAAAGGTTTTTCATTATGTATTTTTGGCATTTAATGTAAGGTGAATGTGTAATCTTTATTGGTAAATTTAAACTTTTTTTTCTTTTTAAATTGGGCAAAAAAGATCTGCTGACTTAGGTCTTAGGACTAAATCTTTAAGTCCAGGACCTAGGACAATACTGCTGAAACTATGTCATGCTTTATGCTATAGAGCAAATTTGGTCTCATCACTAACACGTAATCTTTCATTTTTCGAAGAGCAATATGGATGGCCTTATGTAATAATAAATCTTCTTCTGACGTGTGGTTTGGGTTAAGAACGAAGAATGTTATTTGCTTTTTTTTTGTTTGTTGTATTTTGGCGAGTGGGTCGGGTAAGCACGTTAAGGTAAGAAGTAAGCCATTTCTTTATTTGCCTTTTTTTTGATGTGGATAAGAACGTTGAAGGTAAGAAAGAGGTGTGCCATTCCTTTATTTGCTTTTTTTTTGATTTTGTTGTTTTATTTGCGTGGTTAGATAAGAACGTTAAAGGTACATCATTTGCTTTTGTTTTGTTGTTTTTGGATTTGTGGCAGCATGATGTGGCATGCTTATCTTTGGTAAGCCCAGTTTCATGGTAGGCCTGGTTGGGTGTTATCCAGAGCCGTAAGCCTATGGGTACCAGCAGTCTCATAGTAGGGCCGAAGTACTACTACCTTTCCATTTAAATCGAATACGCAAAGAATATTTTAATTGAACTAACGGAACTTACGAGTTTATTAAGTGAGTGGACGAAGTACTTTTATTATTTACCAATAGAGAAAAATTATATATATTATGATTGTATTCAATAAATCTAAGTTGAGAATGATCTCTTGAAAAGGCATAATAGGTATATAATTTTTCTTTAACTGCGTTTAAATTTACTTAAATTACATAAAAATTATTTTGGCAGATATCTCATCAATGAATTTATCTGGACTATTTTTTTTTTTTATGATGCGGGACTTTCAATGACTTTATTGAATTTAAAAAGAAAATACAAAAGTAAATATAATGGAACTACTGTATCTAATTAACAAAGACTACCGTCTCCCTTTCCTCCAATCAGTTTTGTGCCCGTCGGTACAGTCCGGCGAAAAGAATCGCGGACACAATTTTAAACGTTATGTAAAAACTTTATTATTTAAATACAATTTTTTTAATTGCCGATACTAACGAAACAATTTTTATTAATTAATTAATATTTTGTGTGACTTCCTTCTGCATCGATGCATGCTTTAATATGATATCAATGCATCTAAGTAACACTATTATCGAGAGATTGTCCCATTCCTGTTGGATTGTGGTAAGAAATACATCGAATGATTAAAGTTATATTGCCAGTTTTACGTAGCAAACTGACATATCGTTCACATGTGGGTAAAGGAATGTACAATCGTTGCGATATTTCCTTCGCATTATGCACATTTTGGTTCCAGAGTGTTAACACCTCGTTTCGTTTTATAGCATGGTCATGAAGATGAAATCAAAATCAAAATCAGAACTTCCATCATAGTCATATTCAGCATTATATTTGAGTTTCTCTTTTTCGCTATGGCTCCATCTTTCAGCTAGTTCAAATACAAATTTAGATTTAGCCTTTTAAATTGGTCATATAAACTATGGCCTAAATCGGAAAACTGAACACGTCACGACCTAAAATAGATGCGGCGCCGGATTGTAACACAACTTGAACAAAAAAATTATTATTACTTACGAATTATAATCGCGATTTCCCGATTTTATGAAAAAAAAATAATTCGTTTTAATATTTCAAAAGTCATCATTATACTTACTTATTCTTGGAAATTTTAAAAAAAATATGATTTTTATAATTAACCTTTTTTGTTTGTTTATTTTATAAAATATATATTATTAAAAATAAAAATAAAATGTAATAATATATATAGTCTTAATAGTACCAGAGAAAAAAAAGCAAGTATATCATCACAATGATACTAGAATAAAACAACAAACTAAAGACCAATTATAATGATAAATATTCCCTAATAATTTTTTAAAACATTGCAAATTCGAAAATTAAAGAAAAAAAAAAAAAAAAAAAAAGCTAAAATTAAAAACGTCAAGAATTTTTGTCGAAAAAGTGGTGATGATGAGAGTATGAGCCATTTGATGGAATTTATAACGAAAAGAAAGATATTGAAGAAGAATATGGCGGAATAATTTAATGATGTTAAAAGATATGATAATTGTTCTCAAAATAAAAAGAAAGTATAGTGTATATATATTATATATAAAATAATAATAAAAGAGGACTTATTATGAGTTTACTTATCCAAAAATATTAAAATAAGGGGAATTAATGAATCTCAAATCCAAAAAAAATCCCAATTTAATCCTATATAATATTTCTAATGTTTATGTAAACTCAAAAATCCTCCCTTTCTTCATATATGTTTAATACAGATGATAATAAATATAATGAATGATATAATCCAAAATCCAAATAAAATGTGATTTTTTTTTTTTTTTTAAATATATTACATAAATATTACATCAAATCTACATAAATAAAACATTCGACTCTTTGAAATTATTCAAGGTAATACAGATATCGAGATCTTCTCTTCATTTGATGTAGAATCGGATGGTGGCAATATGGAAAGTGTTGTAAATGTTGTTAAAGGAGAAGAACCAATAACCATATATGTGGACGATGTAGTATTATTTGGAGATGAATCTAATTGTGCCGAACCTTTACGAGATGAAATTGTGGCAACGGGAGCGGGTCGACGTAATAGGGGAGCTTCAGAGTCTGTAGAATTATTACGTGAATGATATAAACTTCCTGCTTCAGAAGAAATACGTTCTATCGTGAGAAAATGTGGTGTAGTAGATGATGAGGTTGAAACACTTGGCATTTTCTGATTATCAAATCGTAGTTCTGAATTTTCAGATATTCTCATTTCACTAAATTCAAAAAGAGAGATTGTTATTAAGTTGATTTGGTGATATTTTATTGGTGAATAAAATGTTCAAGGTACATACCCATAGGCGATTCCGGCCATTACACTAACGTTCAGCATCATTGGCATCCAATTTGAGACAGCTGCCAATATTTTGCTAATTTCGATATTCTTAAAAATTTGCTCATACAAGAAGGCAGATGAACATAAAATCACACATAAACCCGCAAAACTTAGAATGAATGCCGCATTGATTACACGCATCTAGATATGACAAAATGAAAAGAATCAAATGTTAATAAAAATGCGAAATGCTTTAACTTATAAACTTGCTAAAAGGTATAATATACATACTTTTCTTACAGAACGTTGTAACTTTTTGTGTTTTACTTCCAATTCTGCACTAATACCACTATAGGCACTCCGTTTAGTATTATGACTGTATCGAGAACTTTTCCTTGGTGAGGAGGGATAACCACTAACACCTTCTAATAAATGTAGACCCTCGCTCGCAATTCCAACCAATTTATTACCATAAATTATAAATCCAATAGTTATTAATAAAGTACTTATGGATTCAGTACAATAATATACTGTAATTAAATTTTTAATGATTGTAGCAGAATTCTCAGTTGGATATTGACGATGATATCCTATCATTACGGCACAAATAATGCTAATTATACCAAGCACCAAAACATATGACACATATATACTCGCTATGCCACGAAAATTTGGAAGATGTTTATAATGTGTATTTTGTCTATAAAAATTCATTCGTGGAATCGTACGTAATACACCTGCTAGATAGGTTGCCACGGAAACTAATCCAAGAAACCATGTTAGGTCTATTACAATTTCACGTAAGATCCATTGTTCTGGGAACCAATTATTGATTAATATAAGGCTGCTAAACACCCGAGCTGAGAGAGGGAGAAGGATGAGTATAATTAGATTTGTTTCATATTCGAATCGAAACAAAAACTTTAAAGTACTTACCAAAACTCCAGAATATCTGTGTGAATAAATAACCTTCTAATGATAAGAAACCTTTTATGCTAAACAACGTCATACTTTGGCTGCGATAGAGGCGCCATAATAACAACCACACAGAACTTAAGAGCACAAAAAGCGATAAATATGTTGTAACTCCATATACGACTTGAAAATATTCTTGACCATAACAATTTGTTACGGATATTGTCCACTCACAGTTATTCGTTTGCGATGTATTAACATATGAAAGAGAGGAGGATGACATTATTATTAGGAAAAAATATATACAATTTATTTACAAGGAAAATCTTATTCCTTGTAAACTGGTAAAATGCTGAAGCTTTTTATATTAAACGTTATTATATTATATAAATCAGGGTATCAAGTAAATAATTTATTATATTGTTTGTTCTAATATATTCTTTTTTTTTATTTTTCGGTTTTAAAGAGAAAATATAATAAAATATTTCTCAATAAAGTTCCGAAATATAAAAAAAAAAAATTTTTAAAGATAGTTAAGATAGTTGTTTGAAAGGGAGCTGAAAAAACACCAAGGACTTTATCACTGATTAAATCTTTTTCGATTGTTGCATTGAATGCATTGAGTGCATTGAGTGCATTGTTTTTTGTTCACAATGGTCCGTTTTGGTATTTATTGTTAATTTTGAATTGAATGGAATTTTCCTAAAGTACAACAAATGATGTAATGCCTAATTATGGGGATAAAGTTGGATTATTTCGATCATCTTTTTAACAAAATGATTTTCAAAACCAACCAATCGGATATCTCTCGAAACAGTGGCTTGGCAAATCAAGTTAGTGGTGGCACACTTTATTTCGCCGTTGTTTCAAGAATAGCCCGAGGGAAGAAATGTCTTTCGCCACTAATACTGTAGTACTCAAAAAAGTTTCATAATTAAGATTCTAGTATCATAAATTAGCATCATTTAGGCGGTGTTACGGCTGTGTTATGTACAGCTTATTTACACAGCCAGTAAAATTTGCGGGTGTTATTTCGAAAAAAAAAACAATGAACATGAACAGTGATTTATTCTGTGGAATAAGTGTTTAATTAATTTACCATTTCCCAAAGCAAAAGACTTTTCGTTTTTTCTTTTTAAAGGAACGATTAAACTTTTTATGTAAAACAAGTTTAATTTCTCAATGATAAGTCTTTTCGACATTATTAAACTTTAAAATGTTATAATAAAACCATATTGTCAATAATAATTAAAGGGACAATTCATATTAAATAATGTGATTTTTATAAAGAAAAACTTTTTAAGGGCTAACAAGATTTGTCCAAAGTAGGGTTAATATTAATTTAATATAATGGTGTAATACATCGTTCACACAATTAAAAAATTTTCAAATTTAAGGATATAAATCTGCCACAATGAATTATAAATCCGGCTGTGAAGTTATTTGCACAAACTGGAATATTACCCTTATACAACCAATTTCAAATATTAAAAATATCAATAATTGATCTTCACAGTTACATTGCGAACAATATAAATGATTAAAATAGGCCTATTTTTAGAAATAAAATCGATCATCAGAAGTCCCTTCCTTTACATAAGAAAATTTCTTCAATAACTTTTCAAGGTTAAATAATATAGAATTTTAATGTTATTTTAAAAATAAATAATAGATTATTGTAAATTAATTTTATAATATAAGGATTTTATATTGATTTGTATTAATTTTTAATATTACCATATAATCGAGAAAATAAGCACCCCTATTACTTTGCTATCATATTTGTAATAAGCACCTTCGAAAATAGGATAATGAAATCCTAGTTTCGTTGCTTGATCCTTTTATCTGCTTTAAAAATGTGAAGAAATAATAATAATTTATGTTATGGATTTCTAGAGGATGGCATAAAACAAAGTAAAAAGTTTAACATATTTATAATTGAAACATGATTGCAAAGTTTGTGAAGTTAATTAGAATGCGCAGTTGCACAACCTTATTTTTTAGTTTTAAATGTGAATATTAAAATAAATGATAAAATAATGTCCTTCGCAATTCTTCAGACAAATAAATTTATTTTAAATTTTATAAAATATTTATTCAATTTTCAACAATTTCAATAGTGTCATTTAATTCATCTAATTTTGTTCTGCAATCAATTTATCAATTTCTTTATAAACCATATCATCTTCTGATCCATCTAACATATTTGAAATAGCTCATTTTAAAGAATTAAAGATAATCTGATCTGAAATAGCATTCCATGAAAGTTTAAATCATCTACAAACATCACTAATTCTTAAATTACCAGCTGCAGTTACAATAGCATTACCTTGGCACATCTTTACATAAGCTATCTTTAAAAGATTTGTTTATTGATACATCAAGTGACTGACATATTCTGGTTATTGTTTCATTATTTAGTATTGTTTCTTTTTAGTCTTTTATTTTTGGAAGTTTAATTATTAGGTTCTAAATATAAATAGAATTTAAAACAAGTTTAATATACAATTTATTTGAATTTAAACCTTTATTTTAAAATACAATAATTGCTTCAAAAATTATTATTAATAGATTATATCTAAGTATTAAAATGATAATTTGATAGAAAACTTATATATGTTTGAAATGTAATATAAATAATAAAATGACTTATTAAGAAAAACTTCTAGACTATATTTGATATATATTTTTTTTCAAATTGGCAAAATAAAACTAAAGATAATAATAATAAAATGCAATATTACTTCATTTTAAGAAAAAAGAAAATATAATATAATAAAAAAATTTAAGTAGCATATACATTTAATTATATTCTAATAAATAAATAAATTACAATTTGTCATATTTAGTAATACAATTTTTTTCTTAGTATTATTATACAAGTTGATTGCAAAGTTTACTAACTGAAAAATAGACTTTAATATATTGTAGTTACCATAACTTTTATTATACAAATTTATGACATTTTTGAGTTTGAAAGCTTCAACATAACGTGTAGCTTTTTGACTATTTCTGCCACTCATCATCAAGAGAATTTGTTTTACAAATTAATATTTAATTGCTAAGAATACTTTTCTATACTTTGAGTGATAATTTGTCTTATAATTTGCTTTATAAAGTTATTATTATTCAAATATTCTTCTGTTATTATACAGTCAAACCTTGATATAGTAAACCCTTAATATAGTGAATTTTTAAATCAAATATATTAAAATTACCTTATTATAGTGAACTAGCCAATTAAATTCTTTAAAAAAT